GCCAGCCCCAGCCAAAAACTGCCCCCCCCCAAAAAAGGTCTGTGCATGCTTTTCATGATACCCAACATCACAGATAACAAAAAAAATGTCCTCACAGAATCAACATGCAGTACTTTGTGTTTCTTTTTCTTTTTTTTAGAGATAAGAGTCTCATTTGTCACCCTTGGTAGAGTGCTGTGGCATCACAGCTCACAGCAACTTCCAGCTCTTGGACTTAGGTGAATCTCTTGCCTCAGCCTCCCAAGTAACTGGGACTATAAGTGCCCACTACAATGCCCAGCTATTTTTTTTTCTTGCAGTTGTTTAGCTGGCCCGGGCTGGGTTTGAACCTGCCAGCCTCTGTGCAGGTGGATGGCATGACCACTGTGCTATAGGCGCTGAGCCTGGCTACATTCTTTTGAGACAAGAGATCACTAGTTTCTCATCCTTTGCTCCTGGGAGCTCCTGGGGCAGTGTCTGTTTTTTATAAATAACCACATCCAACTCAGGGCTGAATCCCACGGAATTCACCACTGGGCCATACTAAGTAGGGCAGCACCTCTATAATACTTGGCTTTCCTCACCAATACGGTAGGGACAAATCCTAGAAGTTCAGAAAGTCATAGATAAAAAGGTCCTCAGTTTATTCTCCTGTAAAATGAGTTGTTGGGACAGTTCCACTGAGGTCCTGAGAATGTAAACAACTTGTGTAAACAGGTTAGGAGCAGACCAGTGCGCTGGCGAGTCATCTGTACTCCCAGCTACTTGGAGGCTTGAGACACGAGTGTGGGGTAGAACTCCACAACTGTGTGCTCCTTCACAAACTATGTGCTCCCTTTAAGCTCTAGAGGCAGGTGGACAGGCGTCTCTGGCAACCTGGAGGCCTGCTAGTTTTCTGATAAGAGATCACTTATCAACCCCTAGGCTGTGTCTCTGCAGAAAGGTTTTTAACCCCTTCTTTGCAGGCTTAACAGCCACATGGCCAGAGTCACTGGAGATGGGTTTTTATGCCCTAATCCCCAGGCCCTGTTCCATGCTGACCAGGGATACCAGGTCATCGACAGAGTTGCCTTCCACAGAAGTCTGTCCACCTGCCTCTGGAGCTTAAAGGGAGCACATAGTTTGTGAAGGAGCACACAGTTGGTGGGGTTCTACCCCACACAGGAGGATCGCTTGAGTCTGGGAGTTCATGCTGTAGTGCGTGATGACTGTGACTGTGAATAGCCACAGCACCCCAGCCGGGGCAACATAGTGAGACTTTGTCTCAAAATAACAGGTTAGAAGCATATTGGAGACTCAAACCTGGTTTTCCTGCCACCTGACCTGAGCGAAATCCTCAACACCCTAGGCTGATTCCTTGTGGCCTCTCTCACTTTGAACAACCCCAAGACCGGGGCAATGACGGCGACCCTGATCCTCCCTGCCGCGAAAACTCAGCGAAGATCTCGAGGGGGTGCGGGACTCTCCTAGGACTTGGAAAAGCCCCAGTGCTTGCCCATCAGGAGAAGGGGAGCTCTCGGAGGCGGAGGGACTGGGGAGCAAGGGGCTACGGTGGTAGAGAATGAGCGGGTACCTCAGTACTTGGAACCCCCACTCGGGCGCTTTGCCAGCCAGAGCAGTGGCCAACCCACCCCCTGTCCGGCCCATCTCAGTCGGCCCCGCCCCCTGGAGCTCCGTTCCCCGGGTAGCCGGCGCCGCGCACAGTCAGCTGATCCCTCCCGCCGGCCGCGCGGCGTCTCTAGCCAGTGCGCTGGGCTGTAAGCTCCTGGTCGTCCGCGGCAGCATGGCCCAGACTGTGCAGCTAGCTCCGGGCTCCCTGGCGCTGGTGCTGTGCCGGCTGGAGGCGCAGAAGGCAGCGGGGGGCGAGGAGGAGCGCAGCGGGCGCGCGGTGTTTCGCGCCTTTCGCCGCGCCAACGCGCGCTGCTTCTGGAATGCGCGGCTGGCGCGCGCCGCCTCGCGGCTGGCCTTCCAGGGCTGGCTGCGGCGAGGGGTGCTGCTGGTGCAAGCGTCCCCCGCCTGTCTGCAGGTGCTGCGGGACGCCTGGCGGTGCCGGGCGCTGCGCCCGCCGCGCGGCTTCCGCATCAGGGCGGTGGGTGAGTGAGGGGCCCGAAGGGGAGGGCGCCCCGCGCGAGCTGCGGGGTCCGAAGTCCGGGCTGCAGGGACTAGTGCGGCTCCTGGATCCCAGCCACAGAGTCGACGCGCCACACTGAGAGAGCTGGGCTGGGGGCCAGACCGGGTGGCTGGAAAAGGGCTGGTTTGCCATCGTGCTCCAGAGACATTCCCTCTTTCTAGGCTAGGACACCACAAGCTGCAATCCCCAAGGTGTGCCTGGCCCCTGCGAGGGCCAGCTCCAAGATGCCTGTGTTCCTCCTCAACGCTTTAAGCCCGTTGAGTACTCAGGAGGAACTTTTTACTTAGAAAAGTGATGCTCTGGGGAGAGAGGTTTTGGTCCATGCGGGTGCTTTGGAAGATACCCCAAGGGGATGGCTAGAATTTACCAAATCTGGCTGCAGCTTTTCTTTTTCTGTTTTTTCCTTCCTTCCTTCCTTTCTTCCTCCCTCCTTTCCTCCCTCCCTCCCAGACTTGGAGTAGACAACAGTCAGGGGTTTTTATGTTCTACTGTACTAGGTGGTGTGGTCTCTTTGGGTCAGGGCCTAGAGAACAAGTCCTTAACTGCTTAGGCTAGCAAGGGCGACATAGTGAGGCTCTGTCTCAAAAAAAGAAAAGAAAAAGAATTAAGTGATGCTCTGGACACATCCTATCCCATTAACTGAGTAGACAGTATCCCACCTTCCCAGTTTTGTCAGACTAACCTGTTAGAAAACACCAACTTTTTGCTTGCACAAAGTAGTTTTTCATTTGAGAAACTAAACCCCTGTACCAGTAAGTGGTGTCTGACTGTGGTCATTAAATTCAGGCAGGCATGTCAGCACCCTGTAACAGTCCAGTTCTGTCTGTCTGTATTTATGGAGGTTGTGATATCCGTTTGATAGTGTGCTGCTGACAGGTCACCAGTTGTTCCAGCCCTTAGTTTGACTCCTACCAAGAAACCTCTTGTCTTAGTCCATAAATTATCCTCCTTTTCCATCTGAGGGGAAGCAACAGCATATAAAAAACATTTGTCTTCGTCCTCAGGGATAAGGGAATAGGGCAGCAAGAGACATCTGATACTGTGTCTCATCTGTTCAGAGATGGTCTCCACAGCCCAGGCAGTCCAGGCCCTACAGCTTGTTGAACCTTGACTTCTCACCTCCATACTGTCCTTCCTATCCCTACTCCTACCCCCACTCCCTTCTTTACTTAAGAGCAAAAGAGAGCTCATTGCAAAACCACATACACACATTTCATCTCCTTTTACTTGCAGGAGTGAGTGAAGAAAATAGGTTTCTGTCTCTGAGAGCAGTGAGCCAAGTAGGAAGGGGAAGGGGGTCTTTCAGACAGGCTGGATGAAAAACTCTTTTCAGTTCTTTGTCCTCAGTTTTTCTGGTTTGAATTAGTGGTTGCATTCTCTGGTTCCCCACCCCCTTTCAAAGGGTAAGCATAGAGTATATTGTGGGGGTTGGGGATACAGCGGGGGGGGGGGCTTGATCTGGGGGTTAAGTAAGAGAGGGCTGTGTGCTAAGTCAGAGGCAGCCACTACTCCCTTACCCTGGGGTTCAGTGAGCAATGGTGAATGCTGGTGTCTGGGTCAGTGAAAGATGCAGCACATGTCACCTGGTGCCCCTGCTCTGCCCACTAGGTAATGCTGCCTCATGGCATGACTCAAATGCAATGGATGCTACTTTCTGGGGTGTGCAACCCAGTGGTCTCTATTATGGGTCATCACCCTTAACTTGGGTCTCTTGGCAGCAATGAGTTTGAGGTTTTTAGTAACAGTCCTGACAAGAATTTGAACATTTAGCTGGAATTTGGGCAAAACCACCCATTTTGAATTTTGAGGAACAAAATAGGGAAAAATCTTATTTGATGCCAAGTAATACAGGCACATAGGGAGTGAGGGGTGGCTGCCTTTCTTTTGAATAGGGATGCATAGGGTTGGTAATTGCTAGCTACAGGTCTAACTTGAGGTCCCTGGGTCAGCTCAAAAGAGAAGAGGCATCATGGCAGCTCTTGGTCCACCTTAGAGTTCCAGAGGCTGGAGAAGGCAGGGGAAGCTGCTTCCCCCCAGAGGAATAGGAAGGTTTGCTCTGTTTGCTGTCCCTATTCTGGCAGTACTGGCTTCCAGAAACCAAAATAGGCTTCCAGAATAGGAGGAAAGAGCTGCTATGGACTATTGCAGCGTCTAGCTCCATCCTTCTTCTTACTTTAGAGGAAAGAGCAAAATGCTAGAAAAGGACTCAAAGGATCAATTTGGTCTCTTTTGCCATAGATATTATTT